CTGGACCAAACCTGCCTTACAGGGCACCGTGCCAAAAAAGACAGATAGACTGACAGACTCTGAGAGACAAATATACAAGAAGCCAAGAAAGAGTTGGCATAGAGAGGCACAGGCAGAGAGCTCTGAGAGAGAAACAGATCGGCAGCCAGAGAGAAGGCGTCAGAGTGGCGTGGCAGTCCCCTGCAGGCCCTGACGGGCTCCTTTTAGGCTCTGGTCCTAGCTTTGGGTGTGCCAGACCTCCCCTGCTGCCAGCCAGGAGGAGGAAAAGGCCGAAACCATGTCTCCCAGGAAGAGATTTCACACAGTTCCAACAGCAATTCCCATAACTTGGCGACTGTGCAGGCTTCTGCCTTCATCGGCTGACTGGACGCAGTGACACCCTTTCCTTTGGGGTTGTCTCTGTCAGTGCGAGCAAGGAAATGAACCGAGGCTCCTGGCACATGGCTGCTTCTAACAAGACAGCACTGAGCCCCAGTCTCCCACTTCCCTGCCAGGCTCTGGGAAGATTAGGGTGCCTCCTTCAGTGCCCCTTGGGAGTTGAGTGGAGAGGGGGGCAGGCAAGCTGCCCTACTAATGGTAACCCAGGCTACAGGAAGATGGCAGGGAAATAAAGTGCTTTGGGAGCTGGGAGTAACATCCTGTTCTTTCCAGGTGGGAGCTGGTGAGCTGAGAGGGAGGGCTTGAGCAGACCTTAATGTCCATTGTGGGCAGGGGGTAGAAAAACACACAAGCCGTAGTCCCGTTGGAATTGGCACGCTCATGGGTGGGCAGTATCCAGAGAGGTAGTCAATGAATGCTGGCCGAGTTTGCCTGGGATTCAGCTCTACCTTTGACACATCAGCACAAGGAGGGGGTCTTGCCAGCCACGTGCCCTTCTCCCAGCGTTGGTTTAGCAGCTGTTGCTTCGTGCTGCTGGGAAAGTACCGCTCTGTGCCATTCCCAGGTGTAGAGGTTTGGCTGGAATCATTGTTTTCAGCAAATGAAGGGTTTGGCTTGCTGGATTTGGGACTCAGTCTCAGGGCCTGGGACCTGTGGGTCACATACACTAGCCTAGAATCCAGGATGATGTCTTTCTCTTTGGGGGAACAGCTCTGGGGGACACAGAAGACTGAGCAGGGTTGACAGGTCACCCATGAGGTGAGACGGGGCCAGGGAAGGGTAGTGTCACCCAGCTGCTGTGTGACAGCAACTCAGTACAACTGGTTGAGTGAATACTCTCTCCCGAACCTGCCCCCCCCCCCCCAGCTCAGAAAGGCTTTGTCTGTGACTTTGATGCCCTTAGGTGCTCAGGAGCTCTGAGGATCCTCCCAGCCAAGACTGACAGACTCCTGTCACATCCTTGTCATGTCCCCGTCCTCAGCAAACAGCAGCTAGCTGCAGCTGCTCCTGAATTCCCTGCCTGTCTCATGGTGGGGTGGTGCAGCGCTAGGAGATGGGCTGAATCTTGCCTGTTTCCAGTTCCCTGGGAAATTTGGAAGCCAGGAGCCCATGGGCTCAGAGAAAATCTGCAATTCCCAGCTCAGAAAAGATGTGAGAACAGACCTGGGCTGGTGAGACGGCTCAGCAGCAGTTATCTCTGACTTCTGCCATCCTGCCCAAACACACACCACACCACACCACACACACTAAAGACAGAGAAAATGAGGAGGGGCCGGGGCAGTGGCTCAGCCCTTAGAACGTGAGTTTCCTCTGAGCGTGCGGACCAGAGTACCACCCCAGGAGGAAGGAGATAACCTACTCCTACAAGTTGTCTTCTCGCTGCACATGAGCCCTGTGGCCTGCTCAGCCCCTCCCCCCAAGAATAACTGACTAACTAAATATTTTAAATGAGGCCAAGGCTTATTGGGGGCGCTTAGCTGGCCTGCCCAGCACCATAGCAGACTTGAGCACGCAGCAGCAGCAGTAAACGTGGAAAGTTCAAGAACAACAGCAGCATGGTTCTTGCAGAATTCTCCCACAGCTCTTTGCTGTGGCATTTCGGTTTTTAAAAGGTGCTTGAAATCGGCCTGCCTTTTTTAGGATGTAATAATTTAAAAAAATCACTGTCCAGATTTCAAACTCACTGGGTATTTTTTCACACATGTAGAAGATTGTATCCAAATTGCTTAAATGTAGACAAATATACAACTTGAAAATAGTGGAGAAAAAGGGTTAGTTGGTAAAGTGGACAGTAGATGAACAGTGGTTTTTTTTTAAAACGTAGGAGGGACATGGAGACCAGAGCGATGGCTGAGTGGCCAAGGGCACTGTGTACTCTCACAGAGGACCTGGGTTTGGTTCTTAGCGACACATGGTGACTCACAATGTCGGTTTCAGGCCATCCAGTACCTCCTTCTGGCCCTGCTCCATAAGCACCAGGCATGCATGAGGCGCACATACAAGTATGTAGGTAAAACGTTCACACACAGAATTTATTTATTTATTTATTTATTTATTTATTTATTTATTTATTTATT